CGTTTGTAAAAGCGTCTTGACTTGTCGCACTACCTACATAAAACCTACATAATATTTTTATGTATAAGGGTGTATTTTGTATTATAATAAATTGCTTACCTTATTTAATTTACATAAATCTTCACATTTGTCACCAATGAAATCATTTCTGAATTATATAATATCATAAATGAAGTATTATTAAATGTTTTTGGTAGTGCACAGCCAAAAGAAATGCACTAAAGACTGTTTGCAATAGTAGTTGCATTAAGACTTCTGCTTTAATTCTAAATAAAGTTAGCATTTCTTTAATTTCTTTGCAGAGACTGCCTGTTTTTACCATAGACATATTCACCATGTAAAAGTCCTTTGCTGGACATTGGCCTATTCCATTGTTGTGAGAGTTTGTTGTAATCGTCACACTTGTCAGACAAATTGAAAATCTCAAATCGGACATTTTTATATGTGGTATAGCCATGCTGCAGCTATATCAGTAGTATAGTTGTAGCACGAATGGGTCGGCTCAACCAGGAAAGGACCACGCTCTCACAGAATACCAGTGTAAAATAGCAGCTCAACACTGCTGTGTTTTGTATGTTGAGTGTAGAGAACCGGAGATCCCTTTTACTGGAAACGAGGCATTCTATCTTAGTTGTCACGGGTGGCAATGCATCTGCATTTTGATTCGTAGTTGAGGATGGATGTAGATGTCTGTGTGCCACAGCAACTACTTACTATCATTTATGCTTGTTTGTCCTATATGTGTAATCTTATAAAAAAAGAAAAAAAAGATGTGATCACCTTTAATGGTACCATTCAACTAACATTTATATTATCTTAAGCATTAATGAGATAGTTGTTCCACTTATAGGAAGCCTAGAGATCTTTTTGCATATTGATGGTTCTGTAGCGCAGTGGCTTAGCAATGAGTTGCAGTACTGAGGGTTTGAATCTCGCATGGTGCAAGTATTTGTATGGTCTACAAATAATTCTTCTGGGTCTGCATGTTTGTCCTTGTGAAATTTATGTATGTAAACTGCCCGCACATTAGAGGAGAAAATCCGAATGTGGAGGAAACGTTTTTTAAAATATAAATATCCCATAGTCGACTGTCTTACGACATTCACGGTATAGCTAGTTATCTTACACCGCCATCATAAGGCATGACATTTATTTATGCTATAGTTTTTCTCAATAGTTTGAGCAATTATATTTAACAGTGGTAGAGCCAAGCGGTAGCTTTTGCTGTCGCACGGATGGGCCAGCTCGAACCGGGGTGGTACCACGACCTCACAGAATACCAGCGTGAAGTAGAGGTTTACCTCTGCGTTGCGTTTGGTGAGTGCAGGTGGCCGGAGGCCCAATTCCCCCCCCCCCCCCCCCATCAACATGGTAGTGGAATTAAATACAAGACTACCCCAGGAGGGTACCAGCAACCCTGGAGAATCCCTCGCTGAGCATCCACGAACAAACTACTTCACTCCTGAGCGTGGGTGCTCAGGCTGCCCCGCGTATTCTGGGGGGGGGCAAAATTCCGCTCGTGACTAATGCTGCTCGGGGCAAGCGGAGCAATACAACCAAGGCGACCCCTGTCACGCTATCCGTGAATTTTTGCAACATCAGGGGACTTCATTCCAACCTTAACGCTGTCCATTACCATCTAGAGACGGCGAAGCCGGCCTTGCTCTTTTTAACCGAGACTCAGGTGTCCTCTCCGGCTGATACTTCATATCTCTCCTACCCGGGGTACAAATTGGAACACTCCTTTGTGCCCCGGGCTGGAGTTTGTGTATACGTCAGAGAGGACATCTGTTTTCGACGCCTCGGCAGCCTTGAAGGTACGGACCTGTCCATCCTATGGCTGCGCGTAGACAGCGACGACCATCCCCGCGTCTACGGGTGCCACTATAGGTCCCATAGCGGTAATGCCGACACAGACCGACTCATCGACCACGTCCAAATGGCTGCAGACTCCGTGCTACAACAGGTCCCATCCGCAGAGATCGTGATACTCGGTGATTTCAACGCCCACCACGCTGAATGGCTTGGTTCTCGTTCAACCGATCATGCGGGTAGATCTGTCTACGACTTTGCTTTGGCATATGGTCTAACACAACTGGTTACTTCGCCTACGCGGATCCCAGATGTGGAAGACCATGTACCTTCCCTGTTGGACCTTCTGCTGACCTCTCATCCGGACGGATATCAGGTCTCCGTCGATGCCCCTCTGGGCTCTTCGGACCATTGTCTGATCCGGAGCACAGTGCCACTCACGCTCCAATCGCAGTTGCGATCTACAGCTTGCCGCCGTGTTTGGCACTATAGGTCAGCTGATTGGGACGGGATGCGGTCTTTTTTTGCATCCTACCCTTGGGGGCGGGTTTGCTTCTCGCCGGAAGATCCCAGCGTTGTTGCCGATTCTGTTGCTGATGTGGTACTTCAGGGTATGGAACTTTTTATTCCATCCTCTGTGGTGCCCATCGGAGGCAGATCCCAGCCATGGTTTGGTCGCTCCTGTAAAATAGCATCACGCTATAAGCAGGAGTGCTACCGGGCCTGGGCTGACGCATCAACGTCTCGGGATTTAAACACCAGCGCACTTAAAAAGAAGTATAATTCCGCCTCCAGGTCCTTCAAAAGCGTCATTGACAAGGCAAGGTCTGAGCACATCGGCAGAATTGGCGAGAAGCTAGTTCGCCTTCCTTCGGGAACCCGTGCATTCTGGTCTCTCGCCAAGGCTGTCCAAGGGAACTTCTGTCAGCCATCCCTCCCATCTCTGCACAGAGAGGACGACTCACTGGCCCATGCCGCAAAAGAGAAAGCCGATCTGTTGTGCTCTCTTTTTGCGTCCAACTCGACTCTAGATGACGGGGGGAACACACCGCCGACCATCCCGCGATGTGAGTGCTCCATGCCGGATGTGCGATTTACACAGCGCTCGGTTCGCAAAGCACTCTTCTCCCTGGACGTCAGCAAGTCGAGTGGGCCCGATGGAGTCCCTCCCATTGTGCTGAAGACGTGTGCTCCGGAGTTGGCACCGGTTTTAACGCGTCTTTTCCGGTACTCCTACTCCCAAGGCGTAGTCCCGAATTCATGGAAGACAGCTTTGGTCCACCCGATCCCTAAAAAAGGCGACCGCTCAGACCCGTCCAACTACAGGCCTATCGCCATCACCTCCTTGTTCTCCAAAATAATGGAATCCATTATAAACTGCCAGCTCATGAGGTACCTTGAGGATCACCAGCTGATCAGTGACCGTCAGTACGGTTTTCGTCGGGGTCGATCAGCAGGTGATCTTTTAGTTTACTTCACTCATAGATGGGCGGAGGCAGTAGAGTCCAAGGGGGAGGCATTGGCCGTTAGTTTGGACATAGCGAAGGCCTTCGATCGGGTCTGGCACAAGGCGCTTCTTTCGAAGCTTCCTTCCTATGGGCTTCCCGAGAAATTGTGCAAATGGATCACCAGTTTCCTTGCTGATCGGAGCATCAAGGTCGTAGTAGACGGTGCATGCTCTGATTACAAGCCTATCAACGCTGGTGTTCCACAAGGCTGCGTGCTATCACCAACGCTGTTTCTCCTGCATATCAATGATATGCTGCTAACTGGTAGCATTCATTGCTATGCAGACGACAGCACTGGGGATGCCTTATATACCGGCCGTGCCAATATTTCTCGGGAAAACGTCGCCGAGTACCGGGACAAACTTGTGTCTGAAGTCGAGTCTTTGCTTAACAAAGTCTCGGATTGGGGCCGACTAAATCTAGTCCAGTTCAATCCCCAGAAGACACAAGTTTGCGCGTTTACCGCTAAAAAGAACCCCTTTGTCGTATCTCCTCAGTTTCAAGGCACTCCCCTTGCTGCCTCAGCCAGTATCGGAATCCTTGGCGTCGACATATCGAATAGCGTGCAGTTTCGTGGTCACTTGGAAGGGAAGGCCAAATTGGCCTCTAAAAAGCTTGGCGTGCTCAGCAGAGCGAGACAGTATTTCATGCCGGCACATCGCTTGCAACTTTACAAAGCGCAAGTTCGGCCCCACATGGAATACTGTTCTCATCTCTGGGCCGGGGCACCCCAGTGCCAGCTCCTTCCACTTGACCGCATCCAGCGCAGAGCGATTCGAATCGTCGACGACCGAGTTCTTTCCGATCGGCTCGATACACTGGCACTGCGTAGAGATGTTGCATCTCTTTGCGTATTTTATCGCATCTATCACGGGGAGTGCTCTGAGGAATTGTTCGGACTAATTCCAGCCGCTCAATTTCACCATCGCACGTCGCGACAAAACTCGCGTTACCATCCATACCATCTGGATGATTGGCGGTCCACCACTGTGCGATTTAGAAGAAGTTTTCTCCCTCGCACAACTTCTTTGTGGAATCAATTACCACCAGCGAATTTTCCGAACCGATACGACTTAGGAACCTTCAAGAAAAGAGCTTACACCTTTCTAAAAGGCCGGCAACGCATCTGCAATTCCCCTGGTGTTGCGGTTGTTCATGGGCGGCGGTAGTCACTTAACATCAGGTGAGCCGCATGCTCGTTTGCCCCCTATTCTATAAAAAAAAAAAAAAAAAAAAATTCATATGTGGTAGAGCCATGCTGCAGCTATATTAGTAGTATAATTATAGCATGAATGGGTCGGCTCGACCGGGGATGGACCACGCTCTCACAGAATACCAGCGTTAAATAGCAGCTTAATGCTGCTGTGTTTCATATAGTGAGTGTAGAGAATCGGAGACCCTTTTCACTGGAAAGGAAGCATTCCATATTAGTCCTCACATATGATAACGCACCTGAATATTAATTAGTTGATGACAGATGCGTTGTCACATCTGCATTTTGATTCTTTATTGGGGATAGATGTAGATGGGCCACAGCAACCACTTACCTTCAGGTGGACTTTGTGCTCCTTTGTCAACCTATCCTATAAAAAAAATGTTTGCTTTTTAAGGTATCAATTAATACCATTAATGAAATTTAAAATGTGTCATTTTTAAATTCCATATTATTAATTGTTACAGGATTTAACCAAAGTAAAAGAACGTGGCATTTTCCACTGTACGAGCTACTGGATTTTATTAAAAACAGTTCTACTTATTTATTCTCATATAACAAGAAGATTGGACATTTATATATTAACATTTATGCTAACATTGGCATATACCAGCCATCATGTAAGGGATGCCAACAGAAGAGGACTCTGGTTGTATCCATTTGGTCATACACCACCTTTTAGCAAATACTTCTATATATTTCTTCTCATGATACTCCCGAGTATATTTGCATATTTGTACATAGTTATGAAGCCTGCCGTACACAAACAAACTGTGAGATATTATGATTCTATAGTTTAAACATATATTTAGATAAAATTATCTAATTTTGAATTTAAAAGTTATAGTAACTCATAGATTTGCCGGTTCTTTAAAGATCGCAATACCCTAGTCACTCGATAAAATATAATATGAAACAAATGCGTAATATTCTACGCCCACATGCAGTTTGTATTGTATAACATGCAAACATTGTGAACAATGTCATTGTATGAATGAGTCAATATGGTACATAATAGGGTGATGAATTTCTGTATGAACCTTACGCAATATAATATAACAAAATGTATATAATACTTATTGAAAGTCATAAGTTTTACCACAGTGGTAAAAAACCTCTGTCCTGTGAAGAACCAGCAAGAAACCCAGTGGGACTTATTTTTGTAAACATTAATTAGCATTATAATATTTTATACAATTAAGTATGAAAACATTTAGAAACAGTTTAGTAGCGATCACCTCATTCCCAGTGGTTATTGTCAATCATGTACTCTTAAAAAATTTCTTAGTAAAAAAATTCTTTTTGAAATACTCGATCCATCAATCCGTCTATTTTTATAAAAGTAAGAGTAAAAAGGAACACAGACCACCTAATATTAAGTGGATGCTGTAGCCCATAGACACTTAGTCTAAAATCTAGATGCATTGTCACCCCTGAGGACTAAGATGTAATGCCTTTTTACCAGTGAATTGAGTGTGATTTTCATTAATAAACAAAGGAAATACACTATACATTTGTAAGTTTTAAAGTGGGAGAGCCACTCTGCTGTTATATTATAGTTGTAGCTCGAATGGGTCGGCTCGACCAGAGTAGAACCACGCTCTCACAGAATACCAGCGTAAAATGACAATAATAAAAGCTGCTGTGTTTCGTATGGTGAGTGTAGAGAACTAGAGACGAGACAGAGGCATTCTATCTTGTCCTCAAGGATGACAATTCATGTGCATTTTGATTCTTAATTGAGGATAAATATAGATATCTATGGGCCGCAACATCCACTTACCATCAGGTGGACTGTGTGCTCGTTTGTCACCTTTATTCTATAAAAAAACACATTATGCTGGTATTCTATGCGAGCATGGTCGAGCCAACCCATTTGTGCTACACAATACACATCAGAATGACCCTCCTAGCTAAAAATTGTATTTCCCAACATTGTTACTATGTTGTTGTGTCATTTTTGTTTTATTTATGAAATTATTGTTACTGTGATGTTAATTTTCGGATTTTTTGTAAGTTTCAAAACGTTTTATGTTTGACATATACATATATATTTTTCTTTTTTTGTTGTTATTTTTAATTATATCACCATTTCTATTAAGTTGTGTTTTTATTTTCTATGAATTTTTCAATTTTCTCATTATAGGTGTTAAGGCTCAGTCTTTTCATAGTGTCGGCTCCGTGGTGCAGTGGCTTAACAATGAGTTGCAGCGCTAAGGACCGCGACAGGTTCGAATTTCGCACGGAACAAGTATCTGTATGGCTTGCAAATAATGCTAGGTTTGGATGTTTGTCCTTGTGAAATTTATGTATCTAAACTGCCTACACGATACTGGAGACATTCCTAGTGTGGAGGTAGTGTATAAAAAAAAGAAAAAAAGAAAGTATTGCCCGAGACCATCTAGGCCATATTCTTTCTTGTTGCCTATTTCTGCTGCATCCACTCTTATGTTCAAGTTTAAAGGTTTAGAGATTCAGTATAATTTGAGAGTGTGAGGCGTTTTAGTTCCTTGAGATGAGAGTGCACATGCAGCTATCTTTGTTGGATTTATCATTTACCATTAGGTAAACTTCAGCACGTTTGTCGCTTTAAAAACCGGCCGGACAGAACTATTCTCCTTAAAATTGCCTCATAGGTTGCCACAAAACCCTGCCCCTAGCCACCTTCATCTATACACCCCTTGATCTCATGAGGTCGGAGTCTGACTCGGAGTCATTGATCACTAATAAAAACTAGATACACAATCAGTGACAAAAGATGTCCTTACCGAATGAGCGCCCATAAAAATCAATTGTTGTTTGTTAGTCTCGCTAAAATTAAAAAACGGCTCGAATGATTTTGGTGCAATTTTTTGTGTACGTTTCAGTCGCTCAGGTCGCTGTTTGGTTTAGATTCATAATTGGATCCGGTAGGTAGCGTTGTTGCCGAGATCCAGAACACATGCGTGCGAAGCCGGGGCGTATCACTAGTCTTCAATAAACAATCAAAATGCGCATGCGTTGTCACCCCTGAGGACTACTTGCAAAAAGTTGTTTCCAGTAAAAAGGGGTCTCACACAATGTGACACCTCATATTGTGAAGAAGTTTTAAAATAAATAATTATAAAAAATAACTTCTTATTTACACTGGCCAAAGTGCCACAGGATATAGTCCATTACCAAAGAAAAAAAAAGTACCATTACGTCAAAAATTGCTTTAATTTAATTAGATAGTATGTACTAATTTTTCCTTAGGTATTATAACTTATGTTTACATTATTTTATTATTTCAAGACATTTTTAAATCATTCTCCTGGCCACACCACACTCTCGATCCAATCGAGATAACTCGACACCCTAGTGTAAACCGCCGGCTGGCCGCTTTGTGCACATAGTCGACCGAAAGATGTCACCCCTATCACGTGGAAGATGCACTGGTTGTCCGACGAAGCCACTTGAAGGGGAGAGCCGGAATCACCCTGAAGAAAAAAGAATTGTTTTCTCTAGTTTTTTTTTTATCTTCATTTATACAAATAAATAAAATTGATGTGTCTGTTTGTAATATCAAAATAAGAGCTCTTTATATAAAAGTATATACGGTACTAATAACAAAAACACAATTTTTTAAAACAATTTTTCGTCTGTCTGTCTGTCTTGTTGCTCCGGCTAATCTCCGAAACGGCTGGACCGATTTAGACGGCACTTTCACTGGCAGATAGCTGATGTTATAAGCAGTAACTTAGGCTACTTTTATTTTAGAAAAAAAGAGTTACGGTTCCGTGTAAAAAATTAACACCCATGAAATCCAATATCATGTAGAAAGAATGAACGAGGAAAGAGTGACAAAGCAAATATATGTTGCAGAAGTGAACGGCAGAGTTGGGAAGGGACGCACTAGACGAAGGTTTATCGACCAAATCAGCGATACATTGAAAATGGGCCAGATTAGGAGTACCCTTAACCGACGAGCGTGTATGCGTAGATATATGGATGTAAAGGAGGCGAGACAGGTGTGTCCGTATCGTGTCAAATAGAAGTCCGTAGTCTCTGCCTACCCCTCTGGGTGACAGGCGTGAGTGTGTGTGTGAAATCCAATAGTTATGAATTCACGCGTACGAAGTCGCAGGGAACAGCTAGTCTATACAAATAAATAAAATTGAAGTGTCTGTTTGTAATGTCAAAATTACAGTTTTTTACTAAATGCATATGAAAGAAAATACGATACCTATAACTAAAATACAATTTTTAAAATTTTTGTCTGTCTGTCTGTCTGTTTGTTCCGGGTAATCTCCGAAACGGCTGGACTGATTTTGAGGGGACTTTCACTGGCAGATAGCTGATTTCATAAGGAGTAACATAGGCTACTTTTATTTTAGAAAAATAATCAGGGTTCCGCGCAGAAACATAAAAACCCTAACACGCGAACGAAGTCGCGGGGAACAGCTAGTATTATATATAATTCTTCTGTCCATGTGGACGTGACTGAATTCGGTAGGACAGATTTTGATGAAATTTTGCAGTGACAAACGAACTTACAATCTAGATTATGGTAAGTGGCTACTGCAGTCCATGGACAACTTGCAGTCAACTTCAAACAAAGAAGGGTACAGATGCGTTGTCACCTCTGACTACTAAGATGGAATGCCATGACATGACAAGAAGGAACCCTATGACTAAGCCTCCGCTGTCCTGTCTGACTGTCAGTAAGTATCTCATGATCCGTAATAGTTAGACAGTTGAAATTTTACACAGAATGTGTATTTCTGTTCCGCTATAACAACAATCAATAGAAATAGAAATAAATTAAAAATTAAAGGGGCTCCCCTGCTAGAAACGTGTTTTACGATGGTACGGAACCCTTCATGCGTGAATTCGACTCACACTTGTTTATAATTATACTGATTCTTTATATCATTTAGATCGAAACACTGCGTGCACTCCTGCTTATCGGCGGAAATAGGTAAGGTATTTACCCAGATGAACTCTTCGGCGAACAAGGAGACTTACCATTGTATAACTATGAAAACTATATTTACCTGACAAGTGTCCTTCCCTCCCCGCAGTTCCCCGGCACACAGCTGCGAGGCCGCGAACCCAGTCCACAGTCTGTTCCTACCGCCGGCCAGCAGTTTGTCACAATAGTCGTTATTTAACAGCGATAAAGAAACCTTTTGCAGCTCTTTAGCCGGTTGGTTAGTGCCTGAAATAGATATTTGATAAAACATTTACATTTAATAATAAGAAAAATAAACCGGCAAAGTACAAAAAAAAGTTTACAGTAGTAGAGCCACGCGGCAGAATTGCTGTCGTACGGATGGGCCGGCTCGAACCGGGGTGGTACCACGACCTCACAGAAAACCAGCGTGAAGTAGAGGTTTACCTCTGCGTTTCGCTTGGTGAGTGCAGGTGGCCGGAGGCCCTTTTTACTGGAAATGAGGCATTCCATCTTAGTCCTCACAGGTGACAACGCATCTGCATTTTGATTCGCAAACGAGGATAGATGTAGATGTCTATGGGCCGCAGCAACCACTTACCATTTAGGTGGACTGTGTGCTCGTTTGTCACCCTTATCATATAAAAAAAGTGCGAGTCGGACTCGCGCACCGAGGGTTCCGAACAAATCTGTAGGTATATAAGTTTAAAATTATTAAAAATATTTTTATGACTTTTTATGACTACGGACTTTTACTGGCAGATAGTTGACGTTATAAGGAGTAACTTAGGCTGCTTTTATTTTAGAAAAATAATTAGGGTTCCGCGTAAAATAATTAAAATCCTAGTGACGCAGGCGAAGTCGCGGAGAACATCTAGTAATGAATAATTATAATGATCACGATAGCGAGTCTCAACGTTAACTAGTCATCTGTGCAGAACAGGATTATAGTGCCCGATTGTATGCGCAAGCACAGGTGCACTATATTCCCTCACTCTCAGAGTCCGATGGCACGACAACCCGACACGACCGGAGAGAGATCGGGCGCAGGACCAACGGCTATACGTGCTTTCCGAGGCACGGGGGTGAGACACCGCCAACTTCCTGACTCAGGGCCCGTTATTGAGAATTTCTTGACAAAAAAAACTCAATGACTCAGGCCTCGTTAATTGTTATTAACGCATGCACACATGCGTGTCTGTGTGCGAACACACGCACACAGACACGCGCGATGATTGATTACATTACAATATTAAATAATGTAATCATGTCGTTATCTAAGTACCTTTGTAAAAGAAGAGAAGAAAGAAAGAAATAAATAAAAAACATGTGTGAGTGTCGTGGAACACTCGGTTGGAACGAAGTTCCTTTCGTGGTATATTATTATTGATAAACGTATCATATTATTGATTAACAACACAAATAAATTAATTACTAGCGTCTATTAAAATGAAGCGTCATTTAAAATAATATTTCTTTCATGGCAAGATAAGAAAAAGTGCGAGGAAGATGGATATTATTCCATCTCGCTCGCATTATAGAAAAGGGGTCGTGACGGATAAATCTTACACCTTTTCTCGCCTATCAGTCAAATTCGCACCGTGCGATAAGGAACTTCGTTCCAATAAATTATAAGCGGTGAGTGCGACCCCCCACTAGATGGAGTGACGACCTGGTAAGACATGCAGGAAGTCGATGGATGCAGGTGGCTTAGGACCGTGCTTTATGGCATTCCTTGGGGGAGGCCTATGTTCAGCAGTGGACTTGTGAAGGGCTGTAATGATATGATGAAGCGAAGTGTGATTATGTTTGAGATAGAAAAATGAACGGCTGGGGTAGCCCTTGGGTCACTCAAAGCCTAAAACTCGTTGGCTGAGACATATATTTAAATAAATATATAGAATTGCCCATTTAAATATTTAGGATATAGTTGCCTTATACTTACGAGGGTCAGTAGATCCCCAACCAGTCGCAAAGGCCTTCGTATGATCCCCGAAGTCCGGTCTGGACCACAAGCAGGCCGGGCGGACACTGTTCTCGAAATCTACATCAGTAGCCAGCTCCATCAACGCAATATCATTGTAGCGCTTGGGCGGCACGTAGTCTGGATGTTTGTGGATAGTTTTGATAGGCACCTGGAAAATATTACAAAAAAAAAAATTATATCTTTTACAAATGGCGTATTATATAAGTCACTATACGCCCCGGCTTCATGATTTTTAGACCTCGACAATAGCATCACGGTTTAATTGTGAATCTAAAGTTCAGATTCACAATTAAACAATTTTAGATTCTAAACAATTCTCTAATCAACTTAATGACACATAAAATTGCATCAAAATCGGTCCAGCCGGAGTTTAGGAGGAGTTCAGTCACATACACACGGACAGAAGAATTATATAATGTACAATATGTATGTATTATACATATAAACTTCTCTCTTGATTCATTCTGTCTAATGATGAAAACTGCATCAAAATTAGTCGGGTAGCTTAAAAGATCTAAGCGTACAGACGGCGGGAAGCGACTTTAGTGTAGAGATTTCATTCTAGAGTCTGGAGAGGTGTTAACGTGTAATGGCGGTGTAAGAATATCCACTATCCCATATCTTCTCGTGGTTGTCGTAAGAAGCGACAGAGGAAAACGAACCAGGAGATAGCAGCAGCGTCTTCCTAATAACGACTTAAAATACTGACATGTTGTAAATTTAACTAACTTCAACTTTAAACATGTTCCTTTACAGCCTATTAAAATCCACTGCTGAACATGATCGAACATAGATTGCCTCATAGGGGGGATTTTGTCATAGTTGTAATGTTACTGTTGATTTAATGATTTCACCTCTCAGTGGGACATGTGCTCCTGGTAGATTATATTCTATACGTCCATCCATTACAGCCTATTAAGGGGCTAATCCATGCGAATGACCTTGAGCATTTGGTGTGCCGCGCCGACTCGCTACAATATATCGCGTAAGAAATATGCAAGACGCCACCTACTGTACGAACGTAGTATTATTTTTTCAACATCAATAAACTATTTTATGGAAATACACTCGGCGTACAACGGTAAATGTATTTTAATTTTTTTATTCGGTATATTAGTTGCATTATATTAGAATTATGTATTCTCATATATTATCTAATTATGAAATTTTATAATTAATTATATATTAAAAATGAAGCATTAAAAATTGTGAGTTTAAAAGATACCTGGTCACTATAGGTAAATAGATAGATAGCTCGCCTTTTGTACAAATATTTGGTGCAATAAAGAATAAATAAATAAATAGGATGTTTCGCAGAGTGAGAGTAATATAGAATGAGAGTCGTGGAGGCAGTTTACAAACATAAATTGCACAAGGACAAATATCCAGACCCGAAACAATTATTTGTAGGCCTTACAAATACTTGTTCCGTGCGGGATTCGAACCCGCGACCCCCAGCGTAACAACTGATTGCTAAGCCACTGCGACACGGAGCCGTCGCCGGGTTATAGGTAAAGTGACCATACGTCCCGTTTTGAACGGGACTGTCCCTTTTCGCGGTCACCTGTCCCATTGTCCCCAAATAAAGCTCCGGGACACAAAATTGTCCCGTAACTCGTTGGATGGAAGTATTCAAAGCCAACAATCTTCAACATAATTTTTTTAATCGAATATATTTTATGTCTACCTGGTATAAATGCTCCAGTAGAAAGAGTATTTTTCTATTTTGAATAAATTGTGGACGTCTGAAAAAAACACTTACGGTTCCAGTTATAAAGGCGATGTTGTTAACAAAGGTAACAATAAAAAACTTGCCCAGAATTTTATTCTTATTTAAAATCATCACCAACTTTATTAAAGCAAATTTAATCCACTGACAAATGTAATTAATAATTTAAAAAAAATATGTTGCATTTAATAATTACCGTCTATACCGAATATAATTTTATTGTGAACACTAATTGTATAAAGTTATAGTTTTTAGAGTAGGTCAGTTTAGTAAGAGAGTCGAGTCGAGAATAACCAGCAATGCCGCAGATAGGCCAACTTAGACGCCCAGGCCGAATTAGTCCCCTATAGGCCGACTTACCCGACCTGGCCTTATTAGACGACCACAGACCAAATTAAACGCCCAATTCAAACCAAACCTTACATGCTAATGGTGCCTAATTTTTATATTTGCATTTACTTCAAAGAAAATACACGCAAAAAGCTTCATCGCGCAGTAAAAAACACAACAAATATATGTATAACTAATACGAAAAATTATACCCAAAACAAACAAATAATATTACCTATAAATAACCTAATAAGTAATAATATTATCGACTGATAAGATGACGTGAGCGTGTGCGCTGGCCGACGCTCTGACTAACGACACGGTTTTCACGTTCAAGAGCTCAGCGCTCACTGACTCCAGCAAGCCCGTGGGCAGTGAATACGCCCAGATTTTAAAATAATTTCTTAATAAAATCAAATTTTGGTCTTTTCAAAAAAAATTTATAATAGAAAAGTTCATTAATAAATTGCCTATCCATTGGTGTAAATCGCAAAATAAAATAATACTTACTCTACGAGGAGATGTATGTTATCAATAATTATTTCACATTTATGTGGTTTCGTTGTAAGGAGATTATATTAATACACTCGACGTCAAAAAATCGTACATCCAAAAAAAATTATTTAAATACTATTTTAACACAACAGGCCAATGGCAATGTTGTGGTTTGAGGGTATCATTCGAAAGGTAATTTCATTAGCTTTCAGGAATTTTAATTGAATTTTACTTTTATAACGAGACGAAAGAGAAATTAAAGAAAAAGACAGGGTATGTACAAATTTGCAAATTAATAATTTAAAAAAAAACTTAATAAATACAAAAAAAAGTTCTTAAAACCTAGTGTTACCCCCCCTTGCCTTGATAACGGCTTCCGTGCGATCTTTCATGGACCTTACAAGGGTCGCAACAGCCTCTTGGGGTATTTGTTCCCACTCTTCAAGTACCGCATCTTGGAGCTCTTGAAGAGTGGTTGGAGCTGGATCTCGAGCTCGCACGCGCCGTTTTAGGTTATCCCAGAGATGTTCTATTGGGTTAAGATCTGGACTTCGTGCTGGCCAATGCATAACAGGGATATCGACCTCCTGTAAATAATCCCGTACAATAGCCGCGGTGTGGCAACGAGCATTATCATGCATTAACATGAATCCATCACCGACATAACCAGCATACGGGACCACATGTTCCTCCAGGATTTCAGTAATGTACCGACCAGCATTTAATGACCCTTGCCCACGGCCACCCCGAGTCCGGGAAACACACACAAGTTCCGTTTTCCCGTCGACGGAAATGCCGCCCCAAAACATACACGAGCCACCCCCGTATTCGACGGATTCTTCGAACCAGGGTTGTGTAAACCTCTCCCCCTGTCTTCTGTAGACCCTTCTACGTCTGTCATTGCAGAAGAGACAGACCCTCGTCTCATCAGAGAAGAGTACAGTCCGCCACTGTTCTAGAGTCCACTCGCAATGATTGCGAGCAAACTCTAGGCGATCTCTGCGATGCTGTGCAGTAAGTTTTGGACCTTTAGCAGGTCTATGGGCTGTTAAACTCTTTTCGTGTAACCTTCTTCTTATCGTAGAAACACTCACAGATGTTCTCCGAGTTGATCGAAGCTGTTGTTGCAACTCAACAGCATTTGTAAAACGGTTTCGTAAAGATGTCGTAACGATGAAACGGTCATCTCTTTCTGATGTGCACCGTTTTCTTCCAGATCCCGGTTTTCTAACATAACCACCAGTCTGCTGAAAACGTTGGAACACCAGTCGAACTGAAAAACGGGACAGGTTCAACTGTCGAGCAACGTCACACTGCCGCATCCCCGACTGCAATAGGGCAATCACTTGAGCGGCTTCTTCAGAGCTGGTGTCCATCTTTACTTGTTCTTACTTGGGTTACTTGTTCACGTGTGTTCACTGCAAAGTCTAAATTACGACTGACCCATATTTCATCCAGATCGACCCTTTTATACCCTTTTTAGGTGGTGTAACTAGCGTCCTTACTAACGAGCATTTGACAGTGTTTATTTTTGACGCTCTATAATGATAAATGTTTTAATGATTTCATGATTTTTTTATTAATAATGTAAAGCTATTCAAATACCCATTTCAAATATACCGATATTTATATAAATATAATTCGTTTCTAGCCATTACAGGCATTTTTCGCGCAAACTCAGAGAGGTGCGATTTTTGTGACGCTGAGTGTATTTATTCCTTTAAAAAAAATTGGATATAGCTCTTATGGAATCAAGCTTATGTAGAAATATAATGTGTTTTTTATTTGTTGATATATCTTTTAAATAAAAAGTAGATAGCTCCTAAAAACCACACAAATAACGACTAGCGCGACATTTTGCTCAACCTGCGCTTTAAGGTCCACTGGTGAACATAGGCCTCCTCCATAGATTGTCTCATAGGGAGATATTTGCTATAGTTGCCATGTTTGGCAAGTGAGTTAGCCACCGCAATTTTTTATTTTTAGTCGTTATTAGGAAGACGCTGCTGCCATCTCCAGATTTGTTTCAACTCCGCCGTTGCCGGTCCCAAGCCCGGATGAGAAAGGAGGAGGGGACGAATCCGCCGGAGAGAGTGGGTGTATCCGGTGGACTAACACACCCACCTGCGCTAGGACCTGCGCAGTCGAGTGCCGTACGCGGGGATGAAGGAGTCCTGGAGGGTTGAGCCGATCGTCGCTGGGGTATATAGTGGCGAGAGGCAACACGCCCTCTTTGGTCCGGATTTCAAGCTAAACGGTGGCCCTATCTGCTAGCCACAGATAGGGAAATGGCCAAGCGCCCCGTCAGAGGGTCGCGGGCGAGGGATGTGGGGGCTAGTCTTCCTGAAAAGGGGGCTGGGTGGTGGTAAAGGCCATGCTGACGGAGCAAGTGACAGTTTATTCGGGTGGTGGGGATGGGCCTTGTCAGCCCCATCTACCAGCTGGATCGAGCTCCCGATGTCGCGCTGTGAGCCAACTTCGCGTCCCTATATTCTCCCGGTAATCCTAACGCCTGAAATTCCTTTTGCTTCTAAAGTAGGGCGTTCCCAAAGGTGCGGGCTCCATGGAGGGTGGGAAGCCGGGGGGATGAATTT